AAAAAAGAAAGAAAAAAGAATCGATCCAACGCCTCGATGGCTTTCCAACAGTTCTTTTGACATATCGGTTATTTGTTTTGTTGATCTTCTTTATCACAGTATGATTTAACACAAGTTTAACTTTCCTTATCCACCTTACCACATAATATTAAGCCGATTGTAGCCAGCAGATTGACCCTGGAAGCCTAAATGGCTAAGGCACGATAGATTACAGCATGAAAGAACAGTACGAGAGAAGGAGATAAAAGTGAGATAAGACGTTTCGGTCCATTAAGTCATATACGTCTTAACTCAACACCGCGCGACAGGATCTCGTCGCTAATTCACTCTCGTCATCATTCTTTCTATCTTGTCATCATTTTTTCTGTACCGGAACATTCCAATTTAGTTTTTATTTTATTTTTACTTTTACTTTCTTTTACAGCCTCTTTCATAACCACAAAATATCTAAATTTAAACTCGGTTACTTATGGCGTATGTCCTGTTTGATGAATCAGTGTCAACTTTTATGCTCATGAATTCCTCGAAGATCGATCTTTTTACTGCGTAATGTTACGCTAAACACAGCTCCTTGTCTGTTTAATCAGGACCGCATAGCGGATAAGATTGAATTTGTGTCGTTGAATTTGAGGTTGAATTTGTGTCGCGAAAAGACACTTGATGTGCCCTAGTATTTTGGAATAGTAGTAAGAATAATTGGCCAGCGCTTCGATTACCGGTGCAAAGATGCGTTTTTTGCACAATTCCTTGCAGATTTTGTCGCTAATGGAACTGTTTTTTCTGACATATGCTTCGAGCTAAAAGAATTGACACTGGCTGCACCACGACTGTGGGGAAACTTTCCCTTAAAATTTCAGCTTTCTAGCTTTTCTTGTTCCCGGGTTAGCAACTTACCCGCAAAAAATCTTCACGGACCCATACGTGTGAATCACGCGCATCTGAAGGCTGAGTTTGAATTGTTCAATTCTTATGTGGGCAGGGAACATCGTCTTAAAATTCCAACTTTCTAACTTTCCAACTTCCTAAGTTAACAATTTACTCGCCAAAAATGGGAGCCCCCCAGCCACAGCCTCAAGCAGCTTCTCAACCCAAAAATCCCTAATATGTGCAAAAGGGTCCATTTTAGGGATAGCGGTATTACATGCATGTAGATTAAGTTCCCAAAATTTCAGCCTTGTCTCTTTCAGCTAGGTCTCAAGATGAAAAATAGGCACAGAGACGCACACACGCAGACAACCTCTTGACAATATGCGTTTTTGTATTGCATAGATACAATAATGCATAATTTGGACAGTGTAAAAAAAATAAAGAGTGGAAAGGAGGGAAAATAGTATGTGTAAAAAGCCAGCATTTTGATTTCACCTATATCTCACTATAATTGATGTGAATGCATAAAGATCGATGAAACTAATGCATGTGAAGCCAGTAGTACGAGAGGGTATATAATATGCAAAAAAAATTTTTTTTTGCAGTGGATAGTATTTGTAAACGAGATGCAACACCGGAACCGCAAGCAATGCATTTTTCACCGGGAACTGCTGCAACGGATGCAAAAATGGAACGAAAATTGAAAGTCCTGAAAAAAAGAGATGAATTAAGAAAGGCAGAACGAAGTATGAGTAAGTGTTGTAGAAATTTTACGTACGTGGGCCCCGGGCGCCTCAAAACACCTGATTTTGGCTCTACATGAGTGGGGGACATTACCCTAAAGTTTCAGCTTTCTAGCTTCTCCCATTCCTGGATTAGTAATTTTCGCGCAAAGATACAGACAATGAATCCTCCTGACAAGAAGACTGGAAGAGAACGGGGGCCTGAAATCTTCTGTGTGTTAACATATGCAGTTTATTTGGCGTTATTGGCCCACTGGAGAGGAACGCAGTCGAATTTTGGCAGCAAATGAAAACACTGGAAGTGTGCCATTTAGATCTCCCAAACAAAGCAAGCCTGTATGTGCTGTGACTTGCTAGCCTGTCCATGTTTCATCCCTGAGCTGTAAACATAGATGGCAGAATCGGTGAATAAATTATAGATTATTTCCTTCGCGAAACTTGCAGCTTCAGGAATTGGCCAAAAATTACGCTAGAATAGATTTCAGGACGAAGTTTATCGCATGGCAACATCGATTTTCGTGCAACCGAGCAAGAATTTCTGGGCTCCA